AAATCTTTTAGCAGCAGCATCAAACTGGTCAGGATGTCAAAGTGGACTCAGGTTGCTGATTGGTTAGTGCTGGGCAGAGCTCCAAGCTTTCTAGCTGAAACAGGCTGTTGTAAGATGACTTCATTCTCATTATTTTTTTACTTTATTCTCACAATATTATTACTTTATTCTTGTAATATTACAACTTTATTCTCAAATTAAAAAGGAAAACGAATCTCTAGCCTGGCCCTAATACTCCGTTGTATGAATGGAACATGAATGTTGTAAAAAAACGTTTAAGGCAGACATGTATTTCATTGTCCAACTTTTTATTTAACTCACCACTAGTTGGCAGCACACAACCCATGAGCCCATGATTCAGCTGCTCTGCACCGCCTGCAGCAGAACGAAGCATCGGAGCAAAAAACTAGCTCTGATCAGGTTTTCCAGAGATTTATTATTTAGAAAATTCACAATATATTGTCTTTGTTAATGTATTGGGCTACACTGGGAAAAATCGTAGTGTTACACATGTATCGTGATGCGTATCGTATCAACAAAATAAATTGATCTAAATCTGTTTCCGTCTTGATTTCAGACCTCGACCACCATCTACGTGCGAATTGTTGACGAGAACGACAACGCCCCAGAGTTTCCTGAGGAGGAGTACGTCACAGTGCTGAGCGAAGGACCTGACACCGTGGGGGCCACCATCGCCACGGTAACAGCCATTGACCCTGACGAAGGTCTTAACGGGACCCTGAGGTATGCAATCGCCCAGGGCAACGTGATCCAGACGTTCAACATCAACAGCGTCACGGTGAGGCAACTATAAACCGCAGCAGGTAGAGGGGATGACGGCTGATGACAACATGTGGGTGTCATGTGTGTTTTCAGGGCAGAATAACTGCTGTGAAGGAGCTGGACTATGAAATCAGCAGTGGGCATTATGCATTGGTTGTCACGGCTACTGACCAGTGTCCAAATCCTGCTCTGCGCCTGACATCCAGCACAACGGTCTTTCTTTATGCTGGTTTTCAGAAATCATGAAATTTTATCCTACATCTTTCATTCTTTAATGGAGGTCTGTCTACTTCCTGCTTTCAGGTGTCGGTAAAAGTCTTAGACATAAACGACGTGACGCCAACCTTCCCCAGAAGTTACGAGGGTCCCTTTGAGGTGACGGAGGGCCAGCCGGGCCCACGGGTGTGGACCCTCAGAGCAAGAGATGAAGACTCTGGTCTTAATGGCAAAGTGGAGTACAGCATCAGTGGTGGAGATAACCAGAGTTAGTGTCAGCTTGTTTTCTCTCTCACTATACCTGCAATGGAAGAGTGTCACTGTTCAGCTCTGGGTTTTCTCTTCCTCACTCTCAGATGAGTTCATGATTTCCCCTGTGGAGGGTGAGCTTCGGGTGAGGAGGGACGTGGAGCTGGACAGAGAGACCACAGCTTTCTACAACATCACTGTAACTGCACGGGACCTGGGAACGCCGCCGCGCAACAGCTCGGTGAGCAGACTGACGTCAACGCCGTTAAACGCAAGCAGACACACTTTTATCATCATATCCTCTTTCACATATGGGAACTTGGAAGCTTCACTTCTGCATTTTTTTTAATTAACATTCATAGAAGCAGAACAATAGTCACTCAAATTTGAAACACTATATATATTTGATATACAAGTAAAAATATTTGTAATGTAGAAAATATTAGTATTTCAAAACTGCTTCAATGGTTAATGGAGGACATGTCCTGAATTGTTAAACTAATTGTGTAAGATTGTACTATTAAGAAAAAGTGCAATAACCTGGTTGCAGAAGTGTACACACCCTTTTTAAGTAATGCATTGTTAATCCACTTGCTTTAATTAAATCGGTGTTCTGTCAGATTAACATACCCTGTCAGACCAGCATACCTATAGTCAATCCCGGTTTATTCTTTTACACTGGAAAAATTATCTAGAAATAAGTAAAAATATCCTAAATTAAGTGTATTTCGCCTTAATTT